AACCCTAAACCCTAAACCCTAAACCCTAAACCCTAAACCCTAAACCCTAAACCCTAAACCCTAAACCCTAAACCCTAAACCCTAAACCCTAAACCCTAAACCCCTTCGGCTCGGCTCGGCTCGGCTCGGCTCGGCTCAATCTTAACCAGCTCGGCTCGGCTCGATCTTAACCAGCTCGGCTCGGCTCAATCTAAACTGGCTCAAGCCTAACAAGCTTGGATTAATAATGCTTACCTGCTCGACCCAATCTTAACCAGCCCAGCCCAGTTATTGTTTTTTTTAGGGCTCATGGTTAGAATATGCAAACCTATTTACGTAAACATATTAAAGGATGCATGTGTTACGTAATATTTTATATGCATGTGTTTCCTGAAATTATACAAATACTTCTAAAAATATTTTGATCTAAATATATAAAGAAAAAAACTTTCAATAATCAATTATACAAAAACTTTAAAAATATTTTGATCTAAATAAATAAATTAAAAAAATAGATTAAGTCATATGGTTTTACTCAAAAATTAGAAATGATATAGAAACGTATTTCTCTAGATTTGAATTTAAAAAAAAAAGAAAAAAAATAACATTAAAAAAATGAAACCGTGTACTTACAAGTCGTGAAGATGAAGCATAGAATGTGGGGGGGAGGATCATTAGAAACTGCAACTAGCGCACTGCGCACATACGGGGAACTAGAACAAAAAAGAATACGACTTCTATTAGAAGAAGTCATGAATTAGTAATAGTCATCATGGACGTATATAACTAATTTTATAACTTGTATCATATGTATGATTCATTTTTTTCCCTTTTCTCTTTCATAGCTTCTAACGGTTCTTATTACATTGAACTTACCTCATCATGGCTTCGTAGATTTCTTCAAGTAGGGAACCATCCTCATTCCCCTCAGTCTATTCCTGTAAAAAAAAATAAGAGAGGGGAACATGAGGGAAACAGAGGATTCTTAGGCACATGAAAGACGAAAGACTAATGTTGTCGCCATCTTCCAATCCATTAGCCTTCACGACATTGTTTCACCCATAAACCAAAGCGTAGTTCCAGGAACCGTTCATCTCCTATCTCTTGAGAAAACACCCCACTTCTTAGTGCCTTGATCAACTAGAACCGCTCCCAAACCCATCTTTTATTTGTTGTTACTCTCGACTCAACGGGTGTCAAGAAGTTTCGGATCAGTTTCTCGAAAAGGGATTGAAAGACAGCTATGGCTTGGTTTTACATCTATTTCGAATAGAGTCTTCTCGAAGATTAGCTTCGGGTCTTTTATGTTTCTCATCAACTGGACCATCCAATCCGGTGAATCTCTCCCCTCTTATGTGAATAAAGGTGACACCTTTGCTTTCTTGAAACTACAATTTCCTTCTAGCACGGCACATCACTTGCGGCTAGTGTTGTTCTTCTTTGTTAGGCACGAAGACGAATATGATAGGGAACTAGGGTTTTGTGGGTTGGTAGTCTTTTTGAAAAAGAAAAAAAAATGTTGAAATTGACGAGAGGAGAAAAAGATGTAAAAGGACAATTAAGGTTTCGAAGAGGTTTCTTACGATGATCTTCTTCGACTTCTTGGAAAGTGACAGAAGATTCTCTTCATTCTCTGTTTGTCTTCTTCTTTCCAAGATGCGGTTCTTCTCCGATTTTTCTTGTGTTCTTGTTCGTACAAACGAACGGCTTTATCCACCAAAAGAGAGAAATTTGACCACGTCTTCGTGAGATCACCGTAATAGATAATCATTGTGATCGGAGGGAGATACACAGGAAAAAAACAATTTTTGAGGACGATAAGAAAAGCCAGAGAGAGAGGAAGTTTGAGAATTGAGAATGAGACGAGAAAGTGAGATCTGGTGATCAAACCCTGCGATCGTCATCAAATATATAGCCGTTTTTTTTCTTCCCTTTTTCACATGCTCATGTGCAAAATAACCGCTTAGTCCCTATATTTCCGTAATTTTATTTTTTATGTCTTGAAAATTCAAAAAAAAAATCATATGATAAAAACGATCTCAAGTTAATTATGTATGTTGAGATTTTTGCTTTGGCAGAAGGAACGATTCCAAGTTCTGAGTCCGGTCTTGTATTAATATAAACGTCCATTTATTTTTACAATACTATCTTGACCGTTCACGTGCAAAGGAAATCCTAATATAAAAAAAAATTGGTATAAATCTTAACATTTTACCAAAAAAATAAATCCTAATAAGGCAACGATAAGTTTTCTTAAATCTTTCTAGATGTTGCAGGCACTCACGCTGAGGATTTTGATGAACCATACACATGAGTATCTCAAAATTTGCTATACTTGCAAAATAAAAAGATCTCTCCTTTTTCTGGTCGCTTTGTTGTCCTTGATTCCCTCCCTAATATGCCCAAGAGTGGCTTCAACTAAACTCTCAAAGAATCTGTGGTTAGTGTTGTGAATGTGTCTTAAATCTCAATTTGAGTATTTATGTGTTTATAACTTCTTGGATCCCCCACAGTATTCTTTTACAACAAAGCGCACCTTATTCCAAAAACAATACCATATTTAATGCTTTTCGTTTTTAAAAAAAAAACACATTGTGCCAACATATATGTTACCTGAGACACATAAGGGGACTCGTACAATCTACGGGGAAGGAGGAGGTGCTGCCCATCATTAACGTATATCCATACCTACACACTCTGTGATATCCTATTATTGTATATGAACTTTCTCCTTTTTGGTGACATTGGCATCTCCTACTACTTCAGCGGCTACTACGTGTAGAAAAATAAGCCAATTGCTTCTTATGAACTACTTACACTTGTGGTTCAATTGCTCTCATCTTTTCTCATTTTTGTTTGTAAAGAAAAGAGGGACTAAGCGAACTAAAAGGCTTTGCCACAAAGTGAGTGAATCATCCTTAATTATTGGGGGTATCTCTCAGGACGGACAAACTGCATTTAATTTTTTCTTTGTCCTAGCAGGTTCGAGCAAGAAGAAGAAGAAGCCTTCCCGATACAAGCCAGAAACTGTTGCTCTCAGAGAGATTCGCCAATTCCAGAAGACCACTAAACTTCTTATCCCACCTGCTAGTTTCATAAAACACGTAAGCTTCTCCTTTTCTCTCTTCTTTTTTTTTGTTTTCCAACAACTATTTTTGGTTGCTAACCTTAGTTACGTGTTTCCCAAGAAGCTCATTTGTCTCAATATAAATTGAAGTGAATTTCACTGCAAACATTAGCTACACCCAACCCTTCATCTAAGAAGCTTGTTATATAATTTGTCTTTGGTTATGGCTTCATAGTTAATACAAGTATACAACCATATGGTTTCTGTAACTACAATTACTATATCCATTTATGTTATTGCAACCAGGTGACATTATTATTAGTTAAGACGTTGAATGGTGTTTCGTGTTATCCTCTAGATATTACCTCTCAAAATTATAGTGTAAACTTCTCTAGTTAATTAATAACATAAGCCATACGAAACACAATTACGCTAAGCATCATGATTATAATATGCGAACGCACTACAAAACGAAAATTATAAGTTTGATGTATCAGAGTCTAATGACCCTCGTAAATAAATCATTAAATCATATGCGAAATTCATTTTTATATAAAATTATATCAAAAAGCATTTTTCATTAATCTTAAAAGTAGAAAATACAACTGACCCCGCAGGATTATAGCTCTAGAAACCTTCAGAGGAAATAAATCTCTAGCATTTTACAAAAAACAAAAAAATTCTTCATTTGATGGTAATAGAGTTTTTTCTACAAAATATGGCTATATTTCGAAAGATAACATAAAATTCTATAGAACATTAATCTCTTTGACTGTTATTATCAATGAAACAATATAAATAGTTGGTTTGTCTCGGTGACTCCTACTGATATATTAAAGAGAGAATAACAATCGTTTTCAATTTAATATGAAGAGTGGTATTTTGAATTAATATGAAGATTATCTTCTTTAAGACTCAAATTTCTAAAATTAAATGTGAATTTTGTATATAAAAAATCTTTAGTCATTTATATGCAAAATAGATATGTGTTGCTTACTTTAGTCTCTATTAGTGTATATTTTTTTTTACTTTTGTTTTAATAGTTCTTATTGTTTAGAGTTTTTTGTCAGAAAAAATTAATACTATCTAAGGGTAAAAAAAAAGAAAGAACAACGGAGATTTACGACATAAAAGCTGCGGTTATCATTACAAATCAACCGCAAAGTTTTTAGGTGTCTAGAGATAAAAAAGGCAATCACGGCTGCTGTCTCAAGCCTCTTCGAGAGCTTTTTTGATGTCTTTCTGCTTATTACACGCAAAACATAAGACCCTCATCACAACTAATAGTATATAAGACGATCTGAATACGTAAAGAAAGAATGCATACCTCGATGGACAGGGGTGTAACCAGCGTGCCGTAACGATCAATCACTATGCCATCTTTGCTGACCAAGAATTTGGTGAAGTTCCACTTAATTCTGGAACCTAGAAAAGTGGGTTTGCTTGCCTTAAGGAACTTGTAGAGTGGTGCTGCGTTTTGACCGTTTACACGTATCTAATCCCACATAAATATACACTTGGTCATATATACAATCCATATCAATCAATCAGCTGGTCACTGTTGAAGCACATATTGATTTTTGATTACACCTAACATACCACAATCAAGTCGCAGATAACTAACATAACTAAAAGATGAATAAAACCTGAGGAGGAGCCCCTATTATAATTAAGTAACCACCGGAAACAAAAAAAAAAATAAAGAAAGAAAGAAAGAGGATATTGTATAGATAGATATACCTACCTTTTGGAAAACAGGATATTCGGCCTGAAACCGCGTACAAGCAAACTCATGAGCCTCTTGACTCGTGCCAGGCTCTTGGTAAAGAAATTGGTTGCAAGGGAACGCCAAGATCTCAAACCCTGATATATATATATCATATTATACACACAAAAAGAGGGGACATGCATGAATGAGCTTGCAACTGCATAGCAAAAGCCCTAACTTAATAAGTTAATGAAAAAAAAGACCTTGGTCCTTGTATTTCCGGTAAAGTTCGGTGAGCTGGGTATAATTGGATTCGGTGAAACCGCTGTTTGAAAAATCCAAAAGATTAATCTATCAATCACTAATAAATTAAAGATAGAAAACGCAATGGCAGAAAAGAAAAAAAGAAGAGACGAACCATTTGGAAGCAACATTGACGAGGAGGAGGACTTTCCCTTGGAATATGCTCAAATTCACGTCCTTGCCGGAGCTATCCTGTCGAAACAATAATTATAATCAAAATAATCAGAGAGACGATTCAAGCGAAACACAAAAGGTTACCTTGACGGTGAATTGATGGACGGATCTCTCGGGAACCGAAACAGAAGCACCCATCTCTCTCTCTTTCGAAAATGAAAAACAAAGAGAGCAACCTTTTTATTTATGGCCCTTTTTCCCCGAGCGGGACTCCGCTTTTTCCTCTCTGTGGCACTTCATTACATGAAGTTTTGCCTTTCATTAGAAATAATCCAAGATCGTTGAATCTTTGTATACTATATTCCCATTATTATATTATTGTTGTTCATGTACGAGGATGTCTACTCAATTAATTCCACCTCAAAATAGCATCAGGAACTATCTAACTGTGTTTTGTTAGCAAAATAAAAAAACTATTTAACTGTATAACACTATTACAAGGGAGTGAAATATACACATCATATACTCCAAGCTGAAAATCCACATAACCAGATAATGTTGACAAAGAAAAAAGAGCATAAAGATTCTTAAATATTCTCAATCTCTACAACTGCTCTCCCTCTCTTTCTTATACCATCTTATCACTCTCTCTGCTTTGCATGAGGTTCTGGTTCCAAAAGAAACAAACATGTCAATATGTACACACTCACTTCGTCAATAACCCTTTATTTCCATTACTCTCTTTTCAAAATTCGAGCCACATCACCTCGGTGTTTTTACTTTAGCTTTCACACCACCCTTTACTACTCTTTCCGTCTCTCTCAAGTTTCTCTAGTCATGACCTCTCTGATGCCACATGCATGGATCCGTAAACCAACAAATTATTTTCGGGTTTTATCGCCAGTGATTTTTACTCCATATTAAATGGAATGAGATTCAAATGTCAGGAGAGACATATATATACCACGATTCCAGTAAAGGTAAATATCATACCCTGGCCGGGACGCAATCTTAAGAGATAGTATGTTATGTAAACCATCGTAAGAGTATTATTTTATAATAATTACGCCCAAAACTAATAAGAAACCAGCATGGTCACATTTGAAGTATTTTAGGCTCAAGTTAACCCATTTACGATGGTAGTTGTTTTGTTATGAATGCTTCGCTTCCCTTTACATATGGCTCTCCGGCTCTGTCTCTGGACTCTTGAGAACTGGGTTTCTTACAGCTTTGTGTCAAGGATTTATTATTATTCATTGGTTATGTATTTCACAATGTATTCCTCCTCATGTGTGATATAAAATTTCAGTTGACCAAAAAAAATCGTTTCGGAAGGCCAAACGGAGGAAAGAGTTTTGTGGTGGGGAGCTAAACTATGTCCAGAGAGAATTCTTCCACGCTCTCATGCAGTATAATGCGGGTAAACTTTTGATTTGACCAATATTCCTTAAGAAACGTCATGCTAGCAAAATCCTATTAGTACTGTATAATTTTTTTCTTCATAAACACCTCTTGTTACCTACCACTTCAAGTTGAGGGCCAAATCAAGAAGGGCTTCAACATGACGGATAGTTCGCTTCTTCTCTTGCTGCTTCAACTTACGTGCTATCGCTTCAGGGTCCAGCAGCTCTCCTTTCTTACCAGATTCCTCCTCGTCTCCCTCTATTAATCTCACTTCATGCAGCAATGCATCCACTTCTCTAACAAAGTCTACTCTCAGAAGGGTGTCGTCTATCTCAATGGGCGACCGTAAGGGTCCTTGATGCTGCAAACACAGCGTATTGATTATTTTTGCGCCAAGGTAAACAAGATAACAAAGAAGAAAAGGGACGCACCATATCAATGTCGAAACCGGGTGGCATTAGAATGCTGAAGGGGTCTTCCCGTGGGAATGTGTCAGCCATTCGTTTTCTGCAATCTTTGAGCCAAGCATCGTCTCCAAAGCCATCATGCATGTTTAGAAGATCATTCAGGAGTTTCATCGCAGGACTTGCTTGCCGCTTCAAGATCTCTGTCTGGAATGAGCCAAATAGATATAGATATAAGGATTTCACTTTCAACCCAAGTACCTGGAGGGAGACGCTAATTCTAAGATAAAAAGAAGTTTCATGACACAAGAACGATCACAAAAGAGCTTCCGAGTTTAAAGATGTATAGCAGCTCAAGATGTTGGTATAGAAAAACAGAAACACATACCTCGACTCTTCTATACAAGAGATCAAGACTTCTGATAGCGTCCTTCTCGTCCTGAAGGACACAATACAAAACCTCACACATGTGTCTGATTAGGCAAAAAAAAACACAGAAAGGCAAATGAAAAGGAAGATATATATGTTACATCACGGCGAGCAAGGTCAAGGCGGTTCCATATGATCATGAGGACAAGCTCGTCCAGTTCTCCTTTCTCAGCAGCTTCTTCAATTCTCTATACAAAATTAATGAATGAGACTTTTGACACAGAGAACTTTTTCTTCTTAGTTTTTTACCTCTTCGACTTCCTCAGCAGCAGTGATGAAGCTGGAGACGAGCTTTCTAGCTTTCCTCAAGTCTTGCTCAGGAAATTCCTTCAACCTCAAGCCGATTTCACGGTACTCTTCAATCTTTCTCTCTTCTTCTTCTTCTTCCTCCCGCTGCATCCGCCGCAATTCTTTCGTCTTCTCCCTCTGCCGAGCTTGCCATTCCTGGCATCAGAAACTCTAAATTCAGATTCAAACAACAAAAAGAAGGCACCAACATACATACATACATACATCATCATAATACTCCGGTGGCATTCCTTCTAGAAGCACTTCTTCTTTCCCCGAGCATCTTCTTCTGATTTTTACTGAATACACATATCAAACCGAATAATAATTTAGTAGAGGAAACCAATTGATTTTGATTTTGATTTTGAATTAGGAAGGAAGGACAGACCTGAGCGCTCGGTAAACATCATCTTCGTCTTCTTCAAGGCTTCCCTAGGCCGACTACTCAACAGCGGAGATGCTATCGTTAGCACCAACGACGCCATGGTCCTCCTCGAGCGAGTGCTTCCACCCCGCCTCTTCCAAGATTTTATTATCTTTATCACATTCACTCCCCTTACTTTCCATTTTTTCTAATCATACCCCCGTTTTATGTATTCTGTGACATTTTACTTCCCTTACTTTTAGTTTCTAGAAATATCTACCACATTTCTTTATTTTTTTTGTTCGAAATATCTACCACATTTATTAGTTTCGTATGTCACAGTTTAAACCCGCGCTAGTGGATTGTGTCTCACACACACCAGACCTGGAATCTTGAGATGTTACTTATATAACAAAAGCTAATTTGAAAAATAAAGTGATGATCGATGTTGTGAGAGAGAAGAAATGCTAAAGTTGATGGCAAGTCTCGACAATGAGCTCGGTAGCTGCACCCATTGTCCCAAGGCCGCCGGCACAGAGTAGAGCGAGAGCTAATTCTTGCTCATTCCACTGCCTCAGACTTTTGCTGAGCCTCTTTATCACTTCCACATCCACCTCTAGCACCCAAGCCGGCGTGCATTGCACCATCAGGCTCACAAACCCGGTTACGTAAGCTTGCCATGTGGCCCAGTCACAACCTAGCGATATCTTCCCTTCCAGCGCACTGACCAGGAACTCTAAATGCAGCCACAGAACCCTTGGCCGACGTTTTGACGCCGGAGATGAGGAGTCGACTCCCCAAGCGAATGCACTGCTTAGGATTGCAAAGTATGCCAAAGCATAGCCTCTTAGCATCGGAACCATACCCCCTCCCAACTCGTCTTCTTCTCCCTGAACTGAGATGAACCAAGATGGTAATGTCTCCTTGATCAGAGCCTGAACAAGGTTCAACCCACCAGAGATCCACACCAGCGAGGCTCCCAGGGAAGCTGCTAGTTTGACACGTGTCATCGCCTGAGACACTGAAACCTGTCCTATTCCATACCTCATACCATCTTTCGTTGTTTTATTCAGTTTCTCCGTGGTGGCGATGCTCTTCACAGAGAACATCAGAAGGGAGAGAATTTCTTCTGTCAGGAACATGACGTCTCTGATTGATCTGTGCACTTTTATGTACAATATTCCTGGTGCAGCTGTGGAGATTCCACCAGAGTGAAGTGAGCCAAATCCATGGCCAAGAAGTGCGCCCACTCCCCCATAGCTGCAGAGTTGTGACGTAGGCGTTAGAGCAAGAGTGCAAGTAAAGCAGCTTCTGAGTAGCTGGATAACAGCATCGCTGTTGTGATGGAACACAGTTCTCGACGCTGAGAAGATAAGAAAGTCGCTCCAGCGCTTCACTTTCTGGGTCCACAGCGATGTCACAATTGGCATGCAGGGCCAGGGGCAAGCGGCAGCAAGGGCGTCCAACGCTGGGCCAACAAGTACAAGGAAACGCTCTGTTGCTTTTTCGAGCTTGTAGGTTATAGTGAGGCTGACTAGTGCAGCGAGAGGCAAGGGAAGTGTAGCCGCAGAGATTCCATCTGCAAAGACAGACGTGTTTAAGCAATTAGAGTTTAAGCAGTGTAATCGTTGTTTTCTTGTTCCAGTCTAACACTTTATCCTGCAAATGCAGTTTTACAGGTATAAAAAGTGTTTACAGATGTAAGGCTAAGCAAGTCCCTCAGGGAAGATGTTGTCAGAACCGGAAAATATATATTGTCGTGAGCGTGAAGAAAAGTATTACCTGCTGGAAGCCTTGGGACGTCAACACCAGTAGCTGCTAAGATCAACTCTATCTGTTGCTCAACGCTTGCTAAATTTGCTGCAGGACTAGGCCAATCAGTTCCGTTCATGGAAACTGGCTTCCACAGACCTCGTGTTACTTCCGAAGAAAAGTAGCTAACCATGGTTCCTAGTGTTGCTGGCAGAAAATCAGCAAGGGTTTTAAGACCTGAAAAGAAATCAAAGGGACAGATTTAGATCATGCCCAACTCAGTATAAGCTGCTTTTTGGAACATTGTTTATTGTGCATCCAGACAGATTTAGGAAATCCCCTTGTCCGAATTGGTTTCATTAAGGTGTCAATTTCTATAGGTTCAGGAGGGTGGAGAACCTGTTGCTAATTCCCGGGGAGAGAGTGATCCATGAGCACAGGCAGTAAGAGCAGCATCAAGCACAAACGGGGCCGCTTCTAAGATATCCCATGCAGGTATCTTGAGTTGATCGGAAGAGTCGTCCACCCCGGAAGTAGATAGACTACTGCTTCCTGAAGATGGAGTCAGCGACTGACTACCACCTTTATTTGTCTTCTTGAACATCATGCTAAGTAGGGAATCAACAATGAGATGCACTGGGCTTCCGGTCTTTAGTTCAGAGAGAATCGAAGCCATGCATTCCTGATGCTGCCGATACCATAGTTTCAGACTGGGGAATGAATCCATGAAGATTGGATCGACAGAGATATCTATCACTTTCGAAAATCTTCGACGTGCCATGCGGTCCTTTGGGGACTTTCCAAAACATTCTAGACGGCAGTTTCTCACTAGCAAAAGATATTCAGGGCTTGATTGAGGTCCCACGGGCGGAACATCTCCCAAGACATGATCTAGTGGTGGATGGTCAAATCTCCATAACCTTAGGAGAAGTATAAATGCAGTGGAGAAAACAGCATGAGAAGAGATTACTTCGCCAGTTGGGAGAGTCCACGTGATGTTCGGAATGCCAGAGCCAAATGCTTCACAGATTGGCATCAAAGCACCAGCTAGCAAGGGGACCTGACAAAGAACACTATAAATACTATTTGATCGAAAGAAGCACCTTTCTATTTGTTGTCAGAAAACATATGTTAACGAACAGGAAAATAGGTTTAAGTCAACAAACCTACCACACCATGCAATGAGAAAATCTGAACACAATCTACAGGTGATATCCCAACAAGAAGAACATTAAGAAACGGGGCACAGCTGATTAGATGGCTATAACTCCCAGAGATATTAGCTGGCGCCTGGGGCGAGAGTAAAGTTACAATGAAGATGATAACATGCTCCTGAAATTAATCAGAGATGGGTCAAACATACAAGATAAGGAGGCTCCAGAAATAAAATCCCGGTGGACCAATTTGTAGTACTGCGAACTATCTAGAAAATACAGATCACAGATACAGAATTGAAATGCCAAACATACCTGTATGCTCCAACCCCGAAATAGAGATGCTCCACAGAGAATAGAAGCCGCGGCTATCTTCTCATCTTCTGAACCAGTAGTTGCAACCTCGTAAATCTTTTCGATCTCTGCTAAGCTTCCATCATATTAATGAGATTAATTTCAGTTGCCTTACAACTGAGAAAGTTAATTAAAAAAGGCGAGCTCCAGCTATGGAGTCTTGGAGGCAGACGATAATCTAGGTAAGAAAACATGCACAGCTATAAATATGTTTTTCCTACTAATACCCCTTTAACCCTTTTTTTTTTTTTTTGAAACATGTCCCTTTAACCGATTACCTAATGAGAAACATAAACAAAGATCGATCATAGATTTTAACATACCTAGAAGCTGGAGTTGTGATTAGTGAACTTGTCAATGATGGTGTTAGAGAAGAACCCTTCATCACTAGAGACCAACAAGAAACATTTCCCGCGATACCTTGAGGAACTTGATTGGTTCCCTCATTTACGAACCCCGGCCAGAGATATGCAGATGTGTCCAACAAATTTCTGGAGATACAAGCTTCAACTACCAGATGGCGCATGTCACCAGCTGTCCCAACGCATGTCACAATTACAATCCAATCACATTTAACAAGAAAGCTAAAATTTCAAAATGATGAAGTATAACAAGAATGGGACCAAAGAGAAAAGTAATAAACAACCCCAATGAATAACCTGAAGCCGCCAAACCACCAAATAAAACCAGAGCAGATACACACACGCACACACACAAAAATAACAATTCCGAGTAAATAAGAAAAACCGCACTCTTGGTAAAATTCAAAACCAGAATGCTGGCGCAAAATAACATTGAGAGAGTAGGTGACAATTTACTTACAGCAGCCACTTGCAGATTCGTTTATGCTTGTACTTTCGTAAGATCCACTACCATTTGTAATGCCGGAAATGAACAGAAATGCTTTCGCAGCAGCTTGATTAGCAACCGACTGTACCGAAAGAGGTGGTGTCAGCAAGCTTTCATAATCACCAAGTTGTTGTAAGCTATTGACTAATCCCTGTCGGCATTTTCCTTTTTTCTCTTTCCACTGGTTGCTTGGGCTAGATGCACTTTGATCAATCCACTGACTTTCTTCTTCTTCAATGATGTTGGCGACTGCAAGTGGAGTGACGGATAGCAATACGCAAAGAAAAGTGTCGGTGCGGGGCACAGGACCCTCGATTGGATCTCTTTCCTTCAAATTACAAAATATTGGTCAATTAGAGATACTGCATAAGGCTCAACATTCTCACTATATGAACTTCTAATTACGAATCTTGTATAAGTTATAATGTGGAACGTAATTTGGTGCTTCACACATGTTACTACTTACACCAGATCCATGAAGTAGCGCAAACACTGATTCTCCTAGAAGCACTAAGACAATAACAACCTATTCTAGGCTAGTAGCTTAAAAATTCTTAGTAGTTGTCCAGGATAGATCCTTACCCTTTGCACTAGGCGTAAGGCTGATAGCCATAGAGCTAGAAAGGCATCATGCCATGTTGTACTATTAGCTGCCTGCAATGCTTTTACAAGACCTGCAGATATTTTCTTATGTTAAAATAAAAGCACATAATTATAGGTATGACGAGAGGAGAGAGTAAGAAGGAGAACAGAGATAAATCTACTAGCACCAGTTAGATTTTCGACAGCGCTGGCAGCTGCAGCTTGTGTTCCATCCATTATATCTTCGAAGAAAAGATCAATGGGGAGCCAGAGTGCAGAACCGCTAGTCCCATGATGCTGACTAGTCAATGCTAAGATAGAACCAGAGGAAACAAGCGCATGGAATTCTCCTCCTGGGATTGTCTTGCTCTCCCTTTTCAGAAAAATACGTGAATAAGACGCCAAGCATGTAAGAGATTCTGGATTAATATGTTTCGAGTTCCTCACTGCCAATGATTTGGTTGTCAGCACTCCAAAACGCTGACTGAAATCTTCCCAATGGGATGGCCTGAAGAGAAAGAGAGCATGATTGAGAAAGATCTGGGAAGTTGATACATTTCAATTCAAAAATATATATATATATATTATCACCAAGGCAGCAGAGTCCACCACGATGATAAGGATCAGACGAGCAACAAAAAATAATAATAATAATAGGTGCAGTAAAAGGTGTCTTACATGTTTTGACTTGCGAGGTGAAGAATGGTGGAAGTAACTTTATTCTGCAAAAGAAATTGGATAAGGTTGATAGCCATTTCAGTGTTGGCTTTCGCTAGTAGTACAACATTGTTGTCGTTTATCTTAAGCAGATCATCATCTATTTCCATGTCGTGTGGCCATTTAGACGGCTTATGAGAGGTTAGTTGTAAAAGACCTTCATCGTCAAGGGATGCATCAACTAGTTGCCAGAGAAGGGAGAAGAGAAATGCAAGGAGAATACTTCCGGGATCTTGATTTGGTAAACCAAAGATTTCAGAAAGATGGAGGATATGATCGATGGAAGTCATTGTCCTGTGATATCCTCCGGATCCTCCTCTAATTTGAGGCATGAGGGAGACTGCTGCATGTCTCTTTAGGAGTTCCAGATAGAGCCTATAGGCTGCGGGATGATGCTTTCTCTTTGGGATTACCCTAAATATATATATTTACCCCATACCAAAAATTAAAAAACACAAAGACTACACTCTAGAAATTTGAATCGAAAAGCAGTCATTCATTGATTATGTCTAACCAACCTGTGGGAGAGAAGGGCGAGGACAAGTAGAGGAGGGACGATAGTGACGGTTATAGCTTTTTCGAGAAGCTTCCAGGAAAGAGGAGTGTGGTTTTCCCAGAAGATGTGGGAGACGAGGAGGTGAGCGAGGTCTGGTGAGGGAAGGGAGACTCCAGCAGCGGAGAGGGTCAAGCGAAGCTCAAGAGCCCAGTGAAGCGGATCCACGTTCTTCTCCTGGGCCGACCTAATCACCGACGTCACCGACTCCCACAGACTCTGTTGCGGAGCCATAGAGAGAGAGATTGAGATTTTGTTTACTCTTTATCAGTATCGCTTTAATTTATTCCACATCACGATTGGATTGGATTGGATTGATTTTGTCTTTCAAAAGGGTTTCTTTCTTCTAAATGAAATATGTTTGGAGGACTTTTATTAAAAGGTTGAAAGAGAGAGAGAATACAGTACTAGTTTCATTTTAGTACCCACTACTTTGAACTGAATACCCTAAGTTATATAATATGTAGAGGAAGGAGCCTATCCCTTTCTTTATACAAGTTCGAGAGCTGCTTCTGTTATGGTCTAGAAGAAGCCAGCCACCCAGTCACACAAACGCAGTTGCTTAAATCCAAAAGAAAAACACCCGAAAGCTCTCTAACAAGTACTTTAAGAAAATAAGAGGAGCTGGCTATGCTATTTATGAGAGAGACTTGGATTTCAACGGCGGTCAAGGCACCAGCAGCGGTACTCTGAAGTGGAGTTGTGGTAGAGCTCTTCCGGCTTCATCTTCTCTAGCTCGCTCTGTTTCCACGAGTTCAGTCCATCCCCTTCTTCTTTCTCTGCCTTTCCATGCTCTTGATCCCGCATTCTCTTGTACAGCCTCATCGCAGATACACAGTCCTCGTATGGCTCGTGCTTCCCGCATTGTATCTTGTATCTACAAATACAACACATGTTCCTAAGACTGGTATCATTACAATCAAAATTCCTAGTATTTGGTCATCAACACATACCCGAGATATGACCTTGTGAGGTACTTGAGTGATTGGCTTACAAGATTTGTTTTCATCAATGGCACGTATTTTGCTGTGTCTCTTGAGGACAAAAAAAAAAGATACTATTAGTGAAGAGAGATTATTTCAAGGAAGGAAAGAAACAAACGGGAATGGAATTCACCTCAACAAATGGCTAGGATATTGGAGTTTCAAGCATTTCATATCATGCCTAAGGTCATGTCCCACAAGAAGAAGCCTCCCAGCCCCATCATTATGTCCACCGCACAAGATGGATAACACTTTTTCTCGTACATTCTCAAGCACCATACCATTCTTCAAATCTTCTTGGCTCAGTCCAGTTACCTTGTGTCTGAACATACATAGATAGATTAGGCTAGGTGAGTGAACAATTTTTATTTGTAAACAAACTGGGCACAAGGCAGGCAGGGACTACCTGTAATCGGTGACAGGGAGTTGAGGCTGGACGTGAGTAGAAAAGATGACATGCTCGTCTTCGTCAATGAGGCAAACAGATGCGCAGAGATCAATAGACCCATCATCACCACCACCAACCATTTCACAGTCAATTGCCACTGCCTTGAGACGTGTATTAACACCAAGAGTCCTAGGAGGATTGACATTGACCTGACATGAATCGAAGAGCAAAGACGCCTTATATTTTCCATCTAAGTTATAGGCAGAGACACAAAGGAAAAGGAAACTTACAAGAGGAAGAGGTGCAGAGAGGTGGCACTTGTTTTTATGGTCAGAGAGAGCAGTGGCGTCCTCAAATATTTGAAGACAGAGAGAACAGCCTCGTTCAGAGAAAATGGACTTGCAGTCTCCTTTGAATAGATGGTCCGGAACTGACATTCAGCAGCAGCAATTGTTCCAAATGAAATCATATGAAGAAAATTAAAAAAAGGAATCAAATGAGGCATGCAATGCAATGCAATGCAATGGAATATACCGTTAAGGTGTTCCCGAACAGATTCGAAGGATTTACAGTGCTTGAAGCAAACCCCACAGCGAGGCTGATGAAGTGAATGGTGCGAAATCTTCATGTGCTCAACCAGGTGTTGCCGTCTATTGAACATCTTGTAGCAAGCAACGCATCTGTGCCTGCAAAATTCAATCAACCCTCTCTCTCAATATAACCTAATTTCACTATTCTCCTCGAGGAGGGAGGAATATCACCAGCAGGGAGATTATTATTATTATTCGAGTAAAATTAGAGAAACGAACCTTATCTTGGCGGTTTTGGGAGGAGGAACCATGGTAATCAATGGCTGAAGACGAAACGTAAAAACTGTCTGCTGCTGATGAGTAGAGAGAAAATGAAGAGACGGAGGAGGAGAAGCCTTTAATACAGCAACAGTTATCTTTCATTATATTGCAACATCACACTTTCGAGTATTAAAATAACAACCATACTCTTTGGAGTTTATAAATAAACCCCACTAAGAAGTTGAAAATAACAGCAGAACCCACTGAATCAGTTTTCTATTTATTTATTTGATATTTAAACATTGTCTCGGTTTTGTCCTGTATGTGAGAAAAATGACTCGTGATTTTTATATGTTCCTTCTGCAGCTTTACATTTATGCGGTAAGAAGAACCAGTGTTATTGCATCAAGACATTCAAGGTTGATTATATACATTTCCTATTGAAAGCATGTGAATAATATAGAGTTTGTTTATGTTTGATAAAATATCAATGGAAATGAAGTGGATTGTTTTAGAAAACATATATTTCATGCTAATAGCAGGAAAGGAATAACAAAAGAGCATATTCGTGAATAAAAATAAGTTAGCAAAAGCTGAAGGAAAATGACCTAATTAATGTTGAGAATCGACTGTATTTAATCTTATGTTTAAGACTTAAGCGCGAAGATTTTCTGTGTTCTACTATCTCTTGCCTAGTGCTGCTCCTAGTCTCTATACGTTAAATGAAAAAAAAAAAACAAGGAAGAAGAAAGAAAGAAAGAAAGATTTCACCAGAAAAAAAAAAAAGAAAGAAAGAAAGAAAGAAACAGAGTGGAATCAGAACCCGATCCCTTTCAAGCATCACTCTTCCTTTTTTGAAAAATTTGCTAAAGTTTCCACCTAATTCCTGCTTTCAACCCAAGAAATTTCTCCTTTGATTTCTTCTCTTTTTGCATGTTGTTCCCTTTTGAAACACGTTATCAATCATGATTTTCCACAAAAGATAATAATTCACCGATTTTTTGGCATTATAAAAAGCTCGTTAATGTCACCCTCTTCTCTGCACAGGTCACTCTCCAATTAACTAACTCCTTTACTTCCTAAGCTCTCTGCACACCGATGGCAAAGAACTCACAGAGTAGCAGCAAGAGCCAGGAGAAGAAGAAAGGAAACAGAGTGTGTGAGAAGATCTTCAGAGCAGTGACGAGTCCGGTCCGAACCGTTCGCCGCATCTCCACTAAACCTTCACCGAACCACCACCACCACCACCAAGCAGAGGCTGTCCGCGTCAAGTTATCTGAGACAGCCAAACCCATTACAACGAGCGAGCCGAAGAAGACGCTGATCACTCGAGTGGAGACGACCCTGAAAACAGACGAGAGGTTCACCGACTATATAAAGAAAGCGAAGTTGAAGATTAGGGCAATGACGAGGAACGATGATGTGTCGGATGCAAGTGAAACAGAGACACGTGATCATCATCATCATCATCACCAACACGTACCTATCTCTCGTGTACCGAGAGAGAGTAGCAGTGGGAGATCATCAGATCGTTTCTCCGAGTACATAAACAAGGCGAAGATGAAGCTCAGATCATCTTCCACCGTCGTTCGTGCGAACACAACTCACGGTTCTTTCAAGCATTGATGAATCCTGGCAACTTTCTATGAATAATCTTGGTCTTGGTTTGCTCCATATTATAAGATATTGATTATGACATATGTTATGGTTTGAAAATTAATGGATCCAATGTATTATTGAAAACCCAATATTGTAATATTTGATGAATATAAAGGTTTGTTGTTGCTAAATCTCTGTTAGGGTGTCTTGTTTTGTGATCTTAACTCTGTTGCTTGATGTTTACTAAGTGTGTAGTTGTCTTATGTCTTTAAGGTCTGTTTGTTTAGTCCCTAGTGGAATGATAGTACTTTGTTTCGCTAGTTTTTCTTCTCCAGAGACCAGAGGTGTTGTACCTGCTGGCTTAAAGTATCTCAAAAATGCATCCCACCCGTTCTTGCAATGATAATGAAGCGTTCAGTGTGAGAAAAAAAAAGGTTTGTTGTTGGCTTGTTGCTACTCACTCATATGGGCTCTGGGTAGGCTTTTACTGGTTTTATGAATTATGAACAGTACAGACATAACGCCCATCAAATATGATCCTTTAAGACTTATCAGTGCACCTCCTAAAGCACTCTACCAAACCCGGTATACGATTACTTTGTTGATATGATTTTTCTCTAATCACTAATGTAAATAACCAAGGTTCTAAAAATTGATCTAGCGGCGCTAGTCTGGCAACTCAATCTTTTTTTTCTAAAAATTGTCTTGGTAACTCAATCTTATCCAAAACAATTTTTTTTAAAAATCTAATTTATACAATTCATATTAGTTTAAATCGATATAAATAATCTAAAGATATTAAATTAAAGTGCATTTTGTTTTCTTCAAAAAAAAGATATTAAATTAAACAATGATATCAGTAAAAATCCACAAATTTTATTATTTATTTTATTTTATACTTCATTTTGATAATTCATAATAATAATTTTTCAATTATTTTCAAAAACTAAAATATTTCATATAAATGTAGTATATATATAATACATCAATAATTGATTAACGTATAGACCTCGAATAATCTGAATGATCGCTAGTACTCTATATAGTGACTAGTTACCGCCTAGCTAATGGTTGAACATTAAAACAACAAAAACACAATTAAAAATCTCAGAATAACGAGATGACATGCACGATCGTTAAATCCTTCATAAATTAATGCTGTGAATGGGCTGTTATGAAGCCTTTGTGTCGTAAGTAACATGATCTCTAAGTTCTACAGATTATTCAATTTCGAACGACAACTGTTTTTTAATCTGTCCAATTAAATGCAAACGGCATGCCATTATTTGAGTCCTCTAAACCGAAAAGGTCAGATTGTGTTGAGATTTCGTTTTCTTATTTTACTCATATCATTGCTTTAGCACAAACTAAACGAGAACAACTTATGAACCTCTTTTAATATAATTCTGTTATGTTTAAATGATTATCATGATCCCCTTTATTCTATTTAACTCTATTTCGGTAATTGTTTTAAAACATTTTGTATTTATAAATTATATAGTTGATATGAAGTATCAGTTTTCAGTATATATCCACAGTAAATTAAGAAGATGTATTTATATAGTTGCTAATCAATTAAGGTTAAAGAAACTGAAAACAGTTTGAAAATTCTAAACTTATAAATATACGGAAAACTAATGTATGTCGTGTGCATGGATGTACTGTATTTGAAAACCTACATTGAATGCAATCTTTTCAAAATAAAATAAGAAAAGTTAGAAAATACTGATCTGTTGTTTAATTCATAGCAAAACGTAAAGAGTCCCTTTTCGACGATCAAGAGTCAAGTTTGATTCTAGATGCATAATATGTACTGTTCGTACTATAGAAAAATATTATTCTTAATAGCACCATTTGATCAAATTACAAGAAAATACTTTCACAACTATATATGTCAACTACATCTTGACGTTACTAAACTGGGTTATATATTATTATTTAAAAAAAAAAACTCGAAGACGCCAAATTTTGGACTAGTATTTCTGTTAGCAGGCTGAAGGTAACTCTATTATATAATTTTGCGTTTTTCACTGTTTTAAATGTAAATGTCTTTTTTTTTTGTCAATCAACCTGCTTCATTACTTAAAATAACCGTTTACAAAGAGCTAAGACGAGCAAGGGCAACACTTGCCAAAGAGTCTGCTTGTCGATTTTCAAGACGGGGAATAAACTTAACAGAAAAGGGACAGAAGAGAGTAGCAAGGTTCCTAATATCAGTCAAGACACCTGCAATCTCTAACATATCCAACCCTGAACGCAGGGCATAAACCAGGACTTGAGAGTCCGAGAAAAGTTGGAGACTTTGAAGGTTGAGTTCTTTCGCTTTGATGAGAGCATCACGAACCGCAAGAGCTTCGGCCATGAGAGCTGAACAAACAAAGGGACGGTAGCTGGAGCCTCTGCAAAGAACTTCAGACATTTCATTCTTGATAATCCAGCCCATACCACCTAATTTCGAGCTCTCCTGCCAAGCACCATCAGTCCAGCACATGGGAACCGAGAAAAGCCGCAGTGGGAGGGGGGAAGCCAACTTCCGAACCGTCTTTACTTTCTTGAGGTTAGCAGCTTCCCATTCCCTTGCATCAACCAAGGCTTTCGTGATTACATCAAACACCTGAAAAACTTTACCTTCAAACACCAATTTGTTTCTAGCAGTCCATAAATTCCAGAGTAACCACGGGATTACAGGTGAGGAGCTTAAACCAACAGGTGGTAACACCTGAAAGTTCCCTGTACTCTGAATCCAAGCTTTTAAGCTTTCAATCATCCTACTATCAGGAAGGTGATGAACAACCGGGGAGCGGAGCCAGACTTCAGCCGCAAACGGGCAATGTAGGAATAAATGAAGGAGAGTTTCCGGCGCTCCACACTTCACACAAAGAATCTCCGCGTTTATGCCTCTTATCGCTAACAGATCACCCACCGGGAGGGCATTATTAAGTAAACGCCAGAGGAAGTGTTGGATTTTTGGGGGAATATGGCACTTCCAGACAAACCGCATCCAATCAAAGTCAGGGATAATAGTGTTCTTTTCTTCAAAGGTTTTCTTGTAACCTGATTTAGTACTGTAGATTCCTGAGGCCTCAGGTAACCAAGCCATTTTATCCATCGGCCGTGTTGAGCTCGGGATGAGTAAGCGGATGGTCTCCTCATAGAGAGGTAAATGTTGACGGACACGTTGGATGTTCCATTCATTGGTAACTGGATCCAACAGGTCAGAGACCTTGAGATGTTGATTAGAGAAGGTTGGGGGGCCTATAGGTGTTGCCGGCTTGGACGTGGAGAGCCAAGGGTCAGACCAAACATTAATATTTTCTCCATTCCCAATCACAAATCCTAAACCTTTTTTAAGGACTGACAATCCCGCCATGATGCTTGTCCAGCCATGAGAGGAGCCCGAGCAGTCTACACTCTCTAAGAACGAGAAATTAGGAAAGTACTTGCCTTTTAACACCTGCGCCAGAAGCGAATTAGGATTAGAGTGGATTCTCCAGCTGAGTTTGGCCAAGAGAGAGTCATTGTAATCCACAAGATTTTTAAATCCTAGACCCCCTAGAAATTTGGGTCTCGCCAAGGTGCTCCACGCCACCCACGAGATTTTCCTCTTATCTGGTGCACTATCCCACCAGAAGCGGGTAAGGATTGATTGTATTCTGTTGCAGAGGGAAAGTGGGATCTTGAAGCAAGACATCGAGTGGGTTGGAAGAGAGGTGAGGACAGACTGCAGCATGACATGTTTACCAGCTCCGGAGAGGAATCGAGTAGTCCAAGACTGAGATCTCTGTCTGATTTTATCGACTAAACCCGTGAAGACGTCACACTTTCTTCTTCCAAACGTTTCTGGGAGACCAAGATACTTACCCATTCCTCCTACCTTCTCAATGCCCAGGGTCGACTGAACTCTATCCTTGATAAGGTCTGGAGTCTTAGAGGAGAAGGTAACAGTCGATTTACTCAAGTTAATGCTTTGGCCTGAGCTAGCTTCATACCGCCGAAGGATCTCCCTCAAGGCTTCGCAGTTTCTCACATTAGTTTTACAAAAAAACATTGTGTCGTCTGCGAATAGAAGATGATTGATGAAAGGGCTTTTCTTTGAAACCTGGAGACCCTTGAGACGTCCGTTATCTTGGCTATTCTTGCACAATCCTGAAAGGACCTCAGTACAGAGGATGAAGAGGTATGGAGAGAGTGGGTCGCCTTGCCTAAGCCCCCGTTCAGGAATAACCTTCTCTTGCGGTGCACCATTGATCAGAAAAGAGTATGAGACCGAAGTAACACACTCCATCACCCAATTAATCCAGATGAGTCCGAAACCCAGCCTCTTCAACACCTCCTCTAAAAAACCCCATTCAATCCGGTCGTAAGCCTTGCTCATGTCGGTTTTCACCACCATAGAGCACCTTTTTAATGCACCTGATATCTTCAGATAATGAAGGGTTTCGTGAGTAATCATCACATTGTCTCCAATAGCCCTACCAGGGACAAAAGCTGTTTGGTGCGGAGTGATTAACTCTGGCAGTATTCCTTGGAGTCTTGAAGTTAAGATCTTTGCAATGATCTTGTATCGGACATTGCATAGAGCAATCGGACGGTATTCTGCAGCTGATTTAGGGGCAGTCGTCTTCGGTATAAGGCAGACGTGTGTCTCATTAACCCGAGGGTTCATTTTACCTGAAGTGAAAAAACTCCGAATTTCTCGGTAAACATCAGGGCCTAAAATGCTCCAGAAAGACTGGTAAAACCCGGCAGAGAAGCCATCAACACCTGGTGCTTTATCAGAGTGAATTGCGAAGATTGCTTTTCGCACTTCTTCCTCATCTGGGATGCGGCATAAGACTTCATTCATCTCGGTGGAAATACGTGGTAAGATAGTCTCTTCAACCGTTTGAAAATCAACGCAACCATTAGATGAGAAAAGCTTCTTGTAAAATGTCGCAAACACTGCTCCCACTTCATCTTCTTCATGCACTGGCTCTCCTTCTTCGTTTTCTATTGTTGAGATCCGATTGGTAGCTTTCCTCCTCTTTGTGACTGCGTGAAAGAAAGCACTGTTTCTATCTCCCCCTTGGAGCCATAAGATCCGGCTTCTTTGTCTCCAAAATAATTCTTCCTCCTTATAAGCTTTGGAGAGTGCTTGTTTCAACCAATCTATCCTCTCAGGGTTGGGAGTAGGGGAGGAAAGTTCGCCTTCTAATTCCTCTTGATTCCTGATTATTTCTCTGGAACAAGCTTCCTTTTGTTCCTTGGACCACTTGATGATCTCATGTCGACAACGGCTGATTTTGACTTCAATATCTTCAAGAGTCTCTTTGGACCAGGCTTGCTCAATGACCCTCCTTGCTTCCTCATTATCGCTCAGCCTTCTGTCATATCTGAAAGGTCTTCGTTGCTTACCTTTAGAGGTATCCAAATAGGTCAATAGCGGCCGGTGATCAGAACCCTCAAAGCGGAGGTAATTACATCTGCTGGCCGGGAATAGGTCATCCCATGCCACATTTGCCAGGGTACGATCCAGTCTAGACCTGATGTAGTGCGTGTGTCTTGTCCCTCTCCAGGATAGATGATCTCCCGTATGTTTAATATCCCAAAGGCCATGGACAGAGACAAAGTTGCGAAAAGGGATAAAGGAGCCCTCACAGCGATTTGGGCCTCCAACCTTCTCAGAATTATCCAGAATGTCGTTAAAGTCACCTGATAAAGCCCAAGGAGAATCTCTGTTGAGGCCCAAAGCCGAGATGGCCTCCCAGACGCTAGCTCTATCCTCTTGTTGGGGTGCTCCATAAATAAAGGTGATGAAGAAGGTGTTCCCTTTGTGCACTATCTTTGTATCAATAAAGTTACTCGATGTTTTTAAAACAGTTAGGAGAACATCAGACTTCCACAAGAGAGCAAGCCCTCCGCTTAGTCCTGCTGGTGGTATCGTGAAGAAGTTGGAATACTCAGGAGAACTTAGTGTAGGAATTACAAAATGATCAGGATTCTTAGTTTCCATAAAGTACAAAATATCCGGTGAATGTACACGTTTCAATTCCCGGATTCTGGGAACTGTCAAGTCACCTCCCAAACCTTGACAGTTCCAGCTTAAGAACGCTAAGGAATCGGGTCTGATGGATTTTGAAAATCCACCCTTCCCCTACTAGAACCTTTAGTATTCACTCTTGACGGGCCTGCTTCATCCTTATTAAAAGGTAAGTCTTGATTTGTGTCTTGTTTGTCTACACAAAGTCTCTTACGAGCCGAAGGTTTGGCTTTTGTAGCCAACACTTTCGTAGATTTAGCTCCTTGGAGAGGGCTTCTGATTCCCCGGGTCCTTGTGGTTCCCTTAATGCTGGCAGGAGGTTTCCTTCTTATCTGTCTTGCTTGAGTTGTCTTCTTAGGAGCAGGTTTCACTGCGCTGGCTTTTCTCTTGGAACCAGAGGCGGGACCGAGTCTTAGAGTGGCTGAGGCTCTTGGTCTCTGCGAGCTACCAGAGCCCATGATAGACTGGTTACCATTACCCGTGGCCTCCCCGGTGAACGGACTCTGCAGTTCATCTTCCGCATACAGAACTTCCACATCCTGAAGGCGAGCTAGAAGAGAGCTAGATAGACCCGTACCTCTTGGAGGTTCTTCACCTGGAGTCACAATTCTTTCTAGCGCTGGGATCCTGACTTCCTCCTGCACGTTTGCCTCTTCTAACCTTGCCAGGGCTGAGACTCTTTCCTTGGATCGGCTGATGACTTCGCCATTGAACGGGGCAACCGGAGCTACCATAGTCTCTCTAGCTGGCCTCGGGGGAGGGGTACGTGAAGTCTGAGAATTCTGGATTGAGGAAAGAGGTCTCTTATCCCCTTGACTACCGTGATTTGGGGAGGCTCCTCTAGAATATCTTCTAGGAGGGGATGCATTACGCTGAGAGGGGAAACTATGATGGGAGGAGAAGTCTCTAGCTTGAGGTCTATCCCTCTCATTACGTAAGTCACCGTGGAACCTACGCTCTTCCTCGCGGTAAAAATAAGGTCTTGACTTATCTTGAGAGGTGTGTTGACGTCTATCTGGCTCCTGGAGTCGAGAATGGATTGATCTTTGGCTATTTCTCTGGTAGTCTCTAGAGGCTGGCTCTCTAGAAATCAAGCTCCTAGAAAAGGATCTCCTAGTGTCGTTTCTGCGCCTACTCTCTTCAATCTTTCGGATGGTATTCTGTTGACTGATGCCTTGGTTTCTCAACTCTTTGGGAGCGCCATCCTTCAAAAGGGGGCAAGCTTCTTTCTCGTGGAAGAGCGAGTAGCATTGAAAGCAATGTTTTTCAAGTTTCTCATATTCCAAATCCACTTTTATTACCTCACCCGAAGGTAGTTCTATAGGGAGTCTCATATCCAGACACCCAAGTCTGTCAATGAGGACTCTAATTCTTCCATGATCTACATCTTTATCCAGAACCGGGCCAAGCGCATCTCCTATGGCCATAATTGTATCTTCATGCCAGAAGTGGAGGGGGATACCATGGATTCTTACCCAAAAGGAGATCATACTTGGGAATGAGTTAGACACAACTGGTTCCCACCGTTGGAGAAGAATCATCCAGCGTTTGTAGTGATAAGGGCCCTTCTTGAGGACCGATTTGAGAGAATCCTCAGAAGGAAACTTGACCAGAAAGAGCTCTGGACCCAACTCTCTTCCTGTGAGACCCTCGACGTTCCAATATTGGAGAAACCACTCCAGGACCCATTGCGTCTTCTGTACCGCTGGGTTAGTAACTCTTCCGATCAACGTGAGTTTGTTTTCTTCTATCAGAGCAGAGTTGTCTCTGGCTGGAATTTGAACCGGACGTCTTCTATCTGAACGCGACTCGTCTGCGTTCCATTTACCCTTCTCAGCTCTAGAGTAACGGTGAGACATGATTGATTTATTTGGGGGTACTGCTTGGACCGAAGAAAGGTCCTTGAGAGATTCTCGAAAGTTTCGAACTGGTTGTTGAAGAAAGACGAGAAGCTAAGACGAAAGACGAAAGACGAAAATCCTCAGACTGAGGTAACTTTTTAAATCTACAGTAGCGTAGGAGTTGAGCACACTTGCAAATCGACCCTATTCCTTCGGACTCGATCTAGAGGAACAGTGAGCTGGTAGGGAGGGGGAGCTCTGTGAGGAGAGGACGGAGGGGGAATCACGGGAAAGGGAGCCCAGAGGGAAGCTAACCATGTCGAGATCTACAGATTGACCGAAGGAAAAATGAGACTGGTGATTTTAGGTCACCGGAGGGATTTCAAATTCGGTGGAGATCTGCATATGTGCGACGGAGAGAGAGGAAAATGCGGTGGAGAGTTAGAGATCCGGGGTAAGGAGTGGAGACATCGGGACTCGTGCCTGGGAGCTTTTTCTCTCTCTATAGCGAATAACCCTCAACACTGTAGAGCAATTATAAGAAGAAGATGCTCTTTTAAATGTAAATGTCTTTAAAGTGTAAACATATATAGAAAACGCATGCAGACCGATGAGGAATCGCCAATCGGTTGTTTATATCGATAGCAAACAAACAAAAAAAGTAAACGAAAAAGGCAATAAAATATCGGAATGACTTCGATCGAGCAAGTAGTCGACACTGTGTAAGCAGTGAGGACAATGGACGGTGACACGATATCTGAGTCACCAAAGGCTTCGCGTTGCAAGCAAATGGTTGGTCTTTTAACTTTGTAAGAGTTGAATAACAATATTTATATTCGCAATTATCTAGTCAATACACGTCTTTGTCATTGTGTGATTTCACTTGTCTCTCTATTCGCTACCGTCAACGCCCTCTCTTGCAAAAGGCAAGCAAGCACAAAAATTTCGAACAACACAGTGTCCTCTCAGTGACAGAGAGACCAATCCCCCCACCCCGATCCCATTAAGACGTTTTCTTGTCCATGAAGATATTTTTATTTTATTTTACAAACACACATGGAAAACGAAGAGAAGTCGACTATTGTGTTATTATTATAAGGATTGATAGTTGAAGAAAATTCCACCAACCCTTAATTAAATCTCTTCCTCCTAAACTAAAAACGTAAAAGAGAGTGTTTGTTTGGAATTGGCAAGAGCGAAAAGAGAGTAACCACCATTATATCAGCCTAGCTAGCTAGGATCGGCTTCTTAACTTATGATATGATACTAGTATATATAAGTCATATCTGATAATCAATTATACTTGAAAACTAGCTTAGTATTGAGATTTAGAATGCGAATATTCCTGACTTGTAATAAAATCTGGTTTGGGGTTTGATATTAAAAGTTATCACGTCGAGATGGGGTATGATTCATGATGTAAGTTCCCCCTCTTGCCTTTAAAAATGTTAATATATAATTAGTAATAGTCAACGCTTGCATTGCATGATTATTGACAGACACATATTGTATGTATTTATAAAGGAGGGTAATACGCAGAGCTAACTAGAGAGGGTGGTCTCCTCTTTTGGAGAGGGAGGCTTATATGGCTCAGACTCCTTTTACTGCTTCTGTAACCAATATACAATAATAATTTTATTAAACGGAAATAACTTAAGTAATACCAAAAGTAACATAAATCAAATATGAAATGAGATTAAAATAAATAAATAAATAAAGGATACGAGAAAGAAAAGCCATTGGTTGTGGCTTTTCTCACAAGCAAAAGGCTGAGCAAGAAGTCCAACGACTTATTCGCCTATGCCCCCGCCTCCATCATTCTGTTTCAGCTCAATTAGTATTATTATCTTCTTTAATCTTATTTTATGGTTACATTTCTATATATAATTTTTTTTTTCTGTTAATTATACGAAAGATATTCAGATCTCTTAAATTTTCTTTTGGTTTTTGTCTCTTACCCCTGGAGTGGCAATAAATACGCTTGTATTATTCCATCCATTGGTCAGAAGACATAACTTAAGTTTCCGGTGAACAACCTTAAACCTCAAAAACCCCTTTTTTCTCTCTCTCTCTCTCTCTCTCATTTTCATAATGGCTGAAACGCCGGTGGCATCTCCTATCAACAACGGATCTGTTGTTCCCGCTCCGCTTCTTCTGTCGGATTCGGCGGCTAAAGACGTGATGATCACATGGTTTCGCGGCGAGTTTGCGGCGGCGAACGCCATAATCGACGAGCTGTGCAGCCACTTAATGCAGGTGAGCGGAACAGCGGGGGAGGAATACGAGGGAGTGATGGCGGCGATTCATAGGCGGAGGATGAACTGGATCCCATTGCTCCAGATGCAGAAATACCATCCTATCTCCCAAGTTACTCTCCAGCTTCAAACCGCCACGGCTGCCAAGATCAACATCAACAAACTCATCACAGATTCAATCCTCGACGATGATTCTCCCACTAGCGACATCACTGATTCCGGTAAAATAAAACAAAACTCAAAAATTCTAACAAAATTAAGTAGGATTCCTCTTTATTGTACCGCGAGAATTCAAATATATTAATAACAACGTCCCTGTTGATGAGTAGATCATAAGTTCATTTTCTGACCATTCTTAGCTAATTTTACACACACACACACATACATGTTCGGTTTCTTCTTCGCAGGATCTCGAGAAGAAGAGCGTGTGGAGGAGGAAGCCATGACAATATGTTGCAAGCACGAGGAAGAATGTGAATCTCTAGCTTCTTCACTCATCAAACAGTCCAAGCGTTTCTCGGCCAAGGAACATGTTCGAGGACATACGGCAAGTTCAAAACCAAACACAATCCTCTTCTTTACTCTCCACCGTTTTGGGACCGTGGGAGACTATGATACCAAGCTCATTGCTTATAATCTGAGGTTTGATAGTTCAGTTTAGTAACTGGAAATTAACACACACAAAAAAAAAACAAACAAAATGGTTTTACAAAGATTAATCTATAGCATGCTCTCTAACTTAAATTCTTTTGGACTATAAAATAGCAAAAAAGAACTCATACTACCTCTATATATTAGTTTAGCGCTCGTGATGGATAAAGTTTCTTTTCATTGTTGTTTTTCCAACTATACTAATTAAGGACCCTCTCGTTGCTTGCTTTTATTTTAGCAGACAAATGTCGTCAAAGGCCTAAAACTCTACGAACATGTGTTCACTGGAACTCAACTCTCCAAGCTTTCGGATTATGTTAATGGACTCCGAGAGGCTGGTCGGAATCAGGAACTTTCAGGCACCTCTCCCTCATACCTTTCTTTATACACACTGGAATTAGTGTAACTGAGTGCAAGTGTCATTGATAATAACCTTTACAAGTTTCCCAAATGCAGGGGAGACGTTTGTTCTGTTCAACAAGAACACGAAAGGGACCAAAAGAGAGCTTATTCAGCTTGGAATTCCGATTTTTGGGAACACCACCGATGAACACTCTGGTAAGATCAAGGACAATTGATTGCCATGTATCATTTTTTTCTTTCAGAATATCCTTAATTAAGCCACCTTTAGTTTTGTTCTTCTATCGACTCGTACTTGTTTGCAGTGGCACCTATCCCAACCCTTCTTGAAAGTGTGATTGATCATCTTCTTCAGTGGCGTTTGATTCCTGAGTACAAACGACCCAATGGCTGTGTGATCAACTTCTTTGATGAGGTACTTAAAATAGTTACAACTGATTTCCAACTATTCTCTCAATCGATCTCCACCCTAAGGCTAACTAAAATGC